AATTTCCCCGATAATTCTCTATTATATCCATTTTACAGAATCTAATTATCTCTTGTATTTTAGGAGTAATGGCCAAAACGCGAGCCGCAAGATTACTTGACTGCCCCTTTATTTTGATACTTACCCATGTAATTTGTATTAAGATAATTATAAATCATGGTAAGTTTTAATTGACAAATAAACATGATTATCCAGATTACGCCTGACATAATCCAAAATGTGATAAAGGTAATTAATAAATATAACAATGAAATAATGATTTTGCAGTTAAATTGCACAATAATTGTATAGTTAGCTATGATGAACATAATATTGATCATCATAAAAACGAACCACGATAAAACAAATAATAGTAATTTGTAATTAATTCTAAGCGATTTAGTAAAATCGGTAATTTTGCTCAGTATTTGATAATCAAGCCATATATTTAAGGTGATTAAAATAAAAATGTGCCTGATCGATTGGATTACAAAACCCACCACAAACATAAGTTTAATATAAGTTGGGATAGTTACTGGAAATAAGTAATCAAGCGAATTTATTATATAAATAATATGACCAAAGGTAAGCAATATATAAATTAGTAAAAACACAAAGCCGTAATATTTGATTATGCTACTTTGAATTAATGTAATTTTAAGATTAATGCTACGAATGGCTAATCCGTTAAATGAAATGCCAATTAAACGGCAGAAATATAGAAATAATTTCAAGATTATAATAATAATTTTTATCAACATTGTCATTTAAAATGACTCATTTTAAACTTAATTATTTAATAAATATTAAATGTAACATACTTTATAAGTAATCTAATTTTAATACATTTAAAATAAACCTTGTACATTTGACAATTGTTGTTTACTAGAAATCTATTTAAATTCTATCAAAGTTCACGGCAATTTATTAATTGAACATGTATTATAATTGACCTTGTTGACAGTTTATTTTAATTAAATGCTTTTCTATCATAAACGCATCTTGATTAAATTGCCATAATGTTATTAAACAACATAAATGACACAATATATTTTATAACGTGAGTTTTATTTTCACATTTTATACAATGCGTTTAAAATCGATTTGTTAATTAAATATAAAATGCATATACTTATTTCATGTGAAGTACAGTTAATAAATTGTTTATGTATAGAATAAAATCTTAATATAAAAATCAATATTCTCGTAGTTTAGAAAATTATGAAATAAACAATTAGATAAATATAAATTTAAGACATATATATTTTATAATTAATTAATTGATAGTTACCATAAAATTATAGCAACCCTGATAGAATAGGAGTATTAATAATTAAACAATTTAATCAAAAAATAACACATTATTAATTAATAATTTTAAAATAAAATATTACAACAGAATTGTATATAACTAATTGTAAATATGTATTATGGGTGTTTGCATTAATCTTACGGGAACCACATGAGCACCGGGAATGTGACTAATCGTAATCGGGTACATTACTGGAAACGAAGCTCACGCGGGTCACAACACTGAAGTCGCCGCCATGTCAGCCAGATTACCATATTTTAAAAATAAATCAGCATGCTGTATCTAACAACAACAAATGCTTTATAAACTAACCTTGCTAACCGCTATCAAGCAGTCTAACTCAACCCATGACGTACAGCATGCGTACTCGGGTTCAGTAATTGTCGGGTCGATGTCGGGTATTTTGTCGTAGGTACATGTGATCACATCTTGGTAGCTCTTTTTAAAGCACGGATCATTAGCCAGGTCTTCGATGGGAGTACCGGTAATAGCGGCCAAGAACTTGGTCGCAACGGGTCCGCTATAGGCGCACTGCACCACAACTAACAGTACGACCAGGGTAAATAATTTTCCAGCCATTGTGTAATAGTTATGTTTTAATTTACTAACTGACTATGGTGAATATGTTTTTTGCTGCCTTATAAATAATGCCTTGTATAGTGATTTTGAAGGGTAAAATATTGCGTTATAATTTGCACATGGTGATATTTCCATTGAGTGGTTCTTGTCAAGTAGCAAATACTTAGAAAGTAATTACTCAATAATGTTGTAAAAATATATAATGTATTTCAATCAAACTAGCAAACTTTAATTTTGTCATATTGTGCAATTGCATAAACTCTTTATTAATTAACCTCATTTATTGTTATCAATATTTTCAATAAGTGAATAGCTTAATAAATGTGTATATTTACATTATATTATATAATTGCCAAAATCTAATTTGAAATTTATTCAAAATAAAATATTTTGGTTTTGTAGAGTATGTGAACATTTTTAATAATACTAATATTAGTCCCATAAGAATAACATTACAATTCTAATATTATTTTAATTTCAGATTAACAATTTTGTAAAAATTATTTTATAATTAAGTGACAATAATGCAATCAAAAGTTAAATTGGCATTTTAAATTGTACCATAATACAGTACATAAAGTTATACTGCACATACAATAATACAAGTTATCATTTTGGTAGTTAAGTAATTGATTATTTTATCTAGATGTGTTTTTAAAGGTTAAATAATAGAGTTAATATCATAATTCTGTATAAATCATTAAACATACAATTAAATAGCGTGTTACACAAATTACAAAATATTTAATTTTGCAGGTATGTATGCAAAAATAATTACACTAGCCATATTTGTATTGATGGTACAGTGTGCCCACATGGTGCCCGTTGAAAATAATCGCGAATTGCCCATTTTTATTGACCCCATCGACGACCTACAAAATGACCCATGCTTCAATAAGTCCTCGGATGATACGGTTAAAATGTTTAATGAAAAAATACCCGATTTTAACCCTCATGGTGCCGATCAAAAGTACGTGTGTTGCGTTGATTGGGTATCGCACGACTGTCTGATTGCATCTAGCAAGGTATATAATTTATTTTGTAACTTGGTTTCTGATGCCTAAGAGTCACCTAGTTCAGTTGAACGTCTGTATTATATTATATAATTATTAACATTATACTTATCCTGGTTAGATACACTGTACATCCACCGAAGCGGCTACACTTAATGCCCTGGCTGATAAAGTAATTGCCCTGCTTGAGGCTGGTGAATGTAAGGCTAATAAATACATCAAAGATCTACCTACATGCTATAGATAAATATTTTTAGTGATTTTAATGATTCAATATTATAATTATGGATTAAATTTTATTAGTAAATGACCCAAAATTTTTGTATACAATAATTTTTGTTTATACTTTACGGCAAATTATTTAAAATTATTTATAAATGGTGAAAGTGATCAAGTATTTAATGTGTAGTTTAACAAAACTATGTAAAATTCCAATTTATAAAATCGGTATACGTAATAAAAAATAACTCGTTAATGTAAAACCAATTTAATTTAACTTTCTTGTAAATATGCATAGTGCAAAATACCAAGTGTTTATTTTGAGATAAACAATAATTGCAAGCAAATATATTTTTAATTAAATAGGTAATTATTTATAAGTATGTAATATTTTTGATAAAATCAATTAATATAAAATATCTCTGGGGTTCATTAAAATAATTAATACACAGTATATACGTATATAAAGTAAAATAATAATATAAATTAAGTATATACCTTTACACAATATCTCCTAAATTATTAATATATTTGAACTTAGAGTTTACCGATAAAATATAAACTGATGTTCAAGAAAAACTATTATCTAATTGAGCAGGTTTACTTTGTTATGTTACGTGTTTGCCGATAAATAATATACTTCTACCAAAATTATATATAAAGCATGTATAACATTCTATGAATTAAACTATTCCATTACAATTATGTCTGCAAAAATAATTACCTTGATAGTATTTATATTGGTGGCACGTTATGCCAACAGTGTACCTGTTAATAATGGTAGACCATTGACCAAGTTTATATCCACCATTTCCAATGACCTGGATGACAGGGAGCGTTATTTAAAGAGTGACCCATGCTATATAAAAAGCATAAATCATTCAAATAAATGCCTGTATACTAAAATACCCGATCTGGACATGTACAATCCCATGACCAAATATTATTGCTGCGTATCGTGGGTTGCCTATGACTGTCTAAGAGCATCTAGTAAGGTTGGTAATTTTATATAATTGTGGTTTATAATTATAATCTAGCATAGTTTTTATATTGTTATGACATTATTTTACAATTATGCTTATTAGTTATTATTAAATATATACTGTGTATCATAATTTATGGAAAACTGGTGTTAATTTTATTAATAACATATTCACCCTGTTTAGAAAAAATGTGCGGCCAAAGAACGATCTACCTTTAATGGTAAAGTTGATGAAATAATTGCCGTAATGAACGCTGATGTTTGTAAGGCACACAAATACATCCAAGATCTGCCCACATGCCACAAAGAATAAAATAAATGTTAATTTTATTATTAAATTATTTTGATTAAAAATTAATATTTATAATAAATGGTAAATTTTCACAACAATTAAGTTTTGTTAAGTTTTTATTTTAATTAATTACAGAGAGAGAGAGAGAGAGAGAGAGAGAGAGAGAGAGAGAGAGAGAGAGAGAGAG